GCTTAATGTCTCTGAGATCTGTGTCTAACCTACTTTGCTGTGGTGCTCGCTCCTCGATGGCAAGAGAAGACTTGGTATGAATAGTCTAGTAGTAATTACAGAGACTTAAATGGGGAGGAGTTGTTGATCTTAGTCCAAGGGAAATCTGAGGATATTATAGCAGCTAACGGGGATATCAAGGATCCAGACTTTTTTCATTATTTTGCTCCATCATTCATAGTGTATTGGCTTTTGTCCTTACTCCTGTCACCTCATGCCTGAAAGACAGATGCTGTGATACAAAGCACTGCAATGTACATTTTCTGGGCTGGAAGAAAGAGGTAGTGGGTGTGATGGTATCATGCACCCTCACTAGCCAGGCCCTCCTATGGTCACTCGAACATGGAGAGAGGCTGGGAGATGGAGTTGTTAGCTTTCACTGCTCTTCTAGGGGAGAAAGATATGGAAGAAGGGAGTTGGTAATGACATTGTATCAGCCAAATTAACATTTGCCACTAATGTGAACTGAGAAGGGCCATTTCTAACCTTTCTCCAATAGTCACAAGTGGTTGATTATACCATATTTTCTGTATTTCACTATTATACTTCTCGCCTAGTTTCACATAGGACACCTCATTTGTTTAAAAATTAAATACTCTCTGTGTAGGCTGGACTAGAACAAGGAGAATAACCACAATCATATTGATTTGTTCGTTAAACCCCTCAATTAACACTCAATGATTGAGCATCTATCTGTTATTACCAAGCCCTGAGATTTAACGTTGACTAATGTATATTTCTTGTCATTTCTTGTCTTATCTGTACACTGCTTTATCCATTAGGAGTGTTTTTAGCTTCTAAAAGAAGAAAATTCAACTCATAGTGACTGAAACCATATGAACAATCCATAATTTACTTTTCAAAAAATTCAAAAGAGGGCGGCGCCTGTGGCTCAAAGGAGTAAGGTGCTGGCCCCATATGCCGGAGGTAGCGGGTTCAAGCCCAGCCCTGTCCAAAAACTGCAAAAAAAAAAAAAAGAAAAAAAAATTCAAAAGAAAGTGCGCAGCTCCACAATGTTAGGACACTGGGATTATGGGATTCTGTCTTTGTGACCCCTCTCCCCTGCCCCCCCAATTGGTTATAAGAAGGCTGCCACAGCTCCAAACACCTCATCCTTTAAGAACGTGCCTAAAGACAGCCGAGACAGACATAATACTATTCTCCTATGCCTCCTTATTTCATCAGAGAATACAATCTTCCCAGAGGCCTCCTTAGCAGACTCATTGCCTAGAACAAGATCAAATGACCACTACTTGCTTTAGGGAGGCTAGAAGACCTGGTAAGAAAGGGAGAGGAGGCTGTGAATTCATGTTGGGTGGGAAGACAGGAGGGTTGTTGTAAATGCTTCACAGCGTTCTGTATCTTCTACATTCATGATCTTACCTTATGACTCAAGGACGCCACCATCCAAGCCTGCTGGTAACTCAAGCCTGGAATTGATGGTATGAGAGCTATCCACAACACGGGAACTTCCGGCTGGGAAGTAATTTAAGCTCTTTTGAAGGTGCAAATTTAATGCAAGAGTTTTAATAGTATTATGATACATTTGCCTGTAGAATACGCATGCAAGAACCCAAGGAGTAATTAAGAAGATTTTGTAGTTTGGGAAGATAATTACATGGTGTCATGAAACAAGAAATCAAGAGTGTAGGCTGAGCTTTGGGTAAGACATTTGAAGTATTCTGAGCCTCTGTTTCCTTGGCTGTAAAATGATGTACTTGGACAAGATTAGATGGTTCCTAAACTCAAATATGCATACAGCTGTGATGCTGGGAGTCATGGGCTAAGAGAATATTTAAAATTATCTATTTCGACTTCTTTTCCAAATGGGATAAATTAGGCTCAGAAAGGTCACCATTTGTCTAAATTTACCCACTTGTTAGAAATTTGACTCCTAGCATGTAACACATCATAGTTTCACAAATAATTTATATTGCATCCTGATATATTTCTTAAAGATTTGGCCTCTCCTCTCTTATTTTTTCATGCTACACAGACAATCTCTTTGATTGCACTCACCCTATTTAATAGAATACAAACAATGAGTTTTTGGGTTTTTTTTGAGACAGAGTCTCACTATGCTGCCCTTGGTAGAGTACTGTGGCGTCATAGCTCATAGCAACCTTACACTCTTGGGCTTATGGAAACAATGAGATTTTAAAAGTCCATTTCTTAGCCGTAAGTTCTTAGGAAAATTAATCTCTCTGTAAAATAATAACCATCTTTTTCATACCTTTTTTTGGGGGGGGGGACTAAGTAGGTAATCTATTAAGAAACCTCTGTTTCCTGACTAACACACAGCAAGCAGCCACCTGTGGTAACCACGATTGTCACTACTGTCTGTCCAGGCATCCAGCTCTACTGCTCACAGCTCCTCTGAGCCTGAGAAAGTGCTCTGGAGCATGTTCCTGAGTAGGATGAGGTGAGGTTAAATCACACTACTATTATCTTGTCTTTGTATGATCATACCTTCTACCCTCACAGTATACATGGAGCTATGATGGCTTTGTGTGGTACTAAGGGTGTGGCATCTCACTGGAAGGCAGACCTGTCATTACTATGCTGTCACTGAGCCAGTAACTGGTGATTTGTACAAGAAGATTCAAACAAATTAACAAAAACCTTAAATTGGGGATTCAGAGCCTGAGATTCATGAATGGGCTTCAGGGGTATGGGAAACCATCTGACATTTCATTGCAACAGATTTTCTTAACCTCAGCGCTCTGGACATTTTGGGCCAGGTCATTCTGGGGACTGTCCTGTGCACTGTGTTTAGAAGGATCTCTGGCCCATCCTCCCTTGATGCCAGTAACATCTCCCAGTCATGGGTCATGGTAGCATAAAGTATCTCTAGACTTTGACGAGTTTCTCTTGGGGGCATGCTATCTCCTCCTGGAGAACCACTGTGATAATACCTAATATACACCATGTATGTGCATTTTTCTTTTCCTTTGAAGGCTCATCAATTTCATTATAGTCTTAAAAAGGTCTGTGACCTCAAAAGGTTGGAACCAATCCCTAAATGTCTTTCAAAATAATAATGAAGAAAATACACATCTCCTACTTGTAGTTGTGGAAAAGTGGTAAGCCAACACAACTTATTTGATCCTATAATTCCTCTATTAGGTATATATCCAGAAGACCAAAAATCACACTACAATAAAGGTATCTGTATCAGAATGTTCACTGCAGCCCAATTCATAATTGCTAGGTCATGGAAGAAGCCCAAGAGCCCATCGATCCACAAATGGATCAATAAATTGTGGTATATGTACACTATGGAATACTATGCAGCCATTAAGAAAGATGGAGACTTTACCTCCTTCATGTTTACATGGATGGAGCTGGAAAATATTCTTCTTAGCAAAGTATCCCAAGAATGGAAGAAAAAGTATCCAATGTACTTAGCCCTACTATGAAACTAATTTATAGCTTTCATAGGAAAGCTATAACCCAATTTTAGCCCAGGAATATGGGGAGAGGGGAGGGGTGTAGGAAGGGTGGGGAGGGTGGGTGGAAGGAAGGTGATTGGCGGGATCACGCCTGTGGTTCATCCTATAAGGGTACATGTGAATCTCTCTAAATGTAGAATATAAATATCTTAACACAATAACTAAGAAAAAGACATGAAGGATATGTTAACCAGTTGGATGAAAGTACTTCAAATTGTATACAGAAACAGTACACTTTACCCCAGGATAGTATTAATGTACACTGTTAAGATTAAATAAAAAAAATAAAACAATAAAATGGTGCAATTCGAAAATTTAGTGTAAAATATATACCTACACATTTATTACTTTCAACTACTTTAAAAAGGCACACGACAAAAACTGTATCTGGGAAAGCATCTTACTATAAGCACTGTTATTCCCAGATGGCCTGCTTCTTAAAATACTGCCTGCAGCGGATCCTCCCCAGTCATCCAGGGATCTAGCTCTAAACTGCCAAAGGGTTAGTGCTAAAGACAAAGAAATAAAAAGACATCAAGTCCAGAGGGGGATCAAAATTATTTCTCAGAAAAGAAACTGAATGGTGGTATAGATTGCAAAACTGACCACAACAAGGAAAGCTGGAGAGGAAAGGAGGGAAGCACAGTGAGAGAGACAGAGAGGAGAGAGGGAGGCCTGGGAAGAGGGGGGGAGGCCTGGGGAGCGGAGGGGAGGAGCCCTGGGAGGAGAGGGGGAGGTCTGGGGAGCGGAGTGGGGTGTAGGCCTGGGGAGCGGAGGGGGAGGCCTGGGGAGCAAGGAGGGCCTTGAAAGAGGGTCCCAGAGAGGGTGTCGGTAGGGAGAGGCTTGCTGAAACTGTCTCTGCCTTCCGCCTGGATAGACGATCTGGAAAGCTGGCCGCTCTCACTGAGTACGTGAGCCCGGCGCTCTCCCCTCTGCCCTCATCCCACGTCCACGTCTGTCTCATTCACTGCCTTCCAAAGTGACCGCTGTCAAGAGGGTCACTCTTTAAGGTCCTCCTTCCCACCTAGTCTTCTCCTAAGGGTGGTAGGAAGCCCAAGGGTAGACCCAGAAAAGCAACCAGGACACGCGTCTTCCTCCCTGGCCCGCAGGCAGCATCCTAGAAAACCAGCAACTTTCTCCCAGACTTCTCGGCCCGATCGCCTCCCCCGCTCTGGGCTGTGCCCGAGACGCACGAGGAGGGCGCGGGAGGGGCTGGTGGCTTGGGGAGCAGAGGGAGCCGGCCCCGGGTGGCCCAACAGCGCCGGGAGCGCCCCAGTCCTTCCGCGCGGGGTCCCGCTGGGCGCGAGGGGAGGAGACCAGAGGGAGAGGAGGAGGGGAGGGCCGGGCAGGGAGGAGGCGGCGCCGCCTCGCCCGCCTCGCCCGCCGGAGGGAGATCCCCGCCTCCGCTCGCCGTCCCGGGCGCCCCTCCTGCCTGCGCCGGGGACACGCCGGGAGTCGGGTCGGGGTCGGCGCCGGCCCGAGCAGCCGGTCCTCGTGGGGACCCCGCGCCTCCTGCCAGCCCCTGCTCTGCCGGGTCGCCCAGGTCTCCGAGGCTTGCAGACAGTGCGAGGAGGAGCAGGACGGCCTCGCCCGCCGTGGATGTCCCCGCCCGGGGAGGACCGCAAGTTGTGTGCGCGCCCGGGAGCCGGGAGAGAAGGGGCCGCCGCCCGCCGCCGGGTAAGTGAAGCGCCGGCGGCCCAGGCGCGGGCTGCCCGCCCTCCCCGGCCCCGCGTCCCCTCGTCCCCCGACACCGGAGCGGGACTGCGCCCGGGCCGGACCCCCTGAGCCGCCGACTGTCGGCTTCTGCCGGCCGGCCGCGTCCGCCGTCCGCATCTCCCTGGGGTGCCGCCTTCCCATCCCGTTCTCCGCCTTCGCCCGGAGCCGGCTGGCAAATCTCCCTCCCCGTCTTTAGAGTCGGAGGCTCGTGTGTGTCCCGCGGGCCGGTGGGTGGGCGAGGGGATCGCCGCGGCTCAGGGTGGGCTCGTCTGAGCCCGGGCGCCTGCAGCAGCTGGAGACTAGTCCCCTTCGGCCGCGCCACCCCCTGCTAGTCTTCCTGGCCTCGTGGCCCAGACAGACCAACTTTAGCTGCTGACTGCAGGTGACAAGATTTAAAGAAAAAGAAAGGAGGGAGAGGGGGGCAGGAGGGAAGGAAGTAGAGAGAAAAGGAAAAGGAAAAAGAAAAGGAGGAAGAAGGAAAGAAAAGTAGCCGGACAGCTCGCTTCCCTGTGAGCCACGTCTAGAACTAACTGAAGGTGGGGCACAGGCTGGTGGAAAGACAAATGGGGGATCAGAAATTCTGGGGACAGAACTCTAGGGTGGACGGGCTGTGTACTGGTGTATTTCTTTTTTTCTGGGAAGTGTGGGAAATGGCTAAGGAGCTCTTTCTGAAAGGCGGGAGTGGAAGTGAATACACCTGGAACCACTTGAACGACCTGGGAGTGCGGACGACTGGGATAGACCATAATTTGGTGCCAGAAATGGTTTCCAGTAAGATTATTGGAAGCAGCGAATCAGAATTGCTGGTACAAAGTGAGCCATGGACAGGCTTCCTTTTACAGTAGAAGATGGTCGTGGAGACTGAAGGAATTCTCAGACGCTGTTGAATGACTCCTGAAGTGTCTGATCTGATAATCGTTCAAGCCAATATATGTGCCTCTGCAAACTATAATGTTTGTTAAATTATGGGACTCTGCAATTGTGAAAAATTATCCTAATTATTTTGTTTGGCTCATGCAGACAGGTAATGCACCCTTAAGTGGATGCAGAAAAGTTGCAAAAAATGATGAGTATAAGCTTGTAAGCCAAGTAAAAAAACCATGGTAGGGATCATTGTATTTTAATATCCTAAATTATGTTTACTGCCTGTTGAAATGCTACATTACTTTTAATGTGAGGATATGAAATGAACTTCTTGACTTGGCAAATACAAGTCATGCATTTCTTTAAGTAAATAGCTGTTGTAGTTCATTTGGGAGCATTTACAGGAGATAAAGACACAAAGAAGCTTTGACGAAACTTGAGTTATGGAGGAGCTTCTAGAAAGAATTAGTCCTACTTGTGAAATGTTGAGGCCAGCTTGACGGCTTAATGAGTAAACATTGGAGACCAGCTGAAACCATGTTGTCACTTTTAGAAAAGCCTTTAACTCTGAGTATGTCCTATTGTTTTATCAGGGACCATCGTTCTAGTGCAGAGGATGGGAACTTGATGCCCAGTAAGCCTGAAGCTCCGTTCTGTGATTAGAGACTCCTGCGTCACAGAACTGTGGAAGACCTGCAGGTCCCTGGTGATTTCACACCTTCCTTCCCTCCCGCAGTCCCAGAACATTCGCTCAAGGTCCTTGCTGCCCTGTCTGGTGAAAGATGGCATCCAGCCTGACTTGCACTGGAGTGATCTGGGCTTTGCTCTCTTTCCTCTGTGCTGCCACCTCCTGTGTGGGGTTCTTTATGCCTTACTGGCTCTGGGGGTCACAGCTGGGCACGCCTGTGTCCTTCGGTACCTTTCGGAGGTGCTCGTATCCGGTCCATGATGAGAGTCGCCAGATGATGGTGATGGTGGAGGAGTGTGGACGCTATGCCTCCTTTCAGGGCATCCCCAGCGCAGAGTGGAGGATCTGCACCATCGTCACAGGCCTGGGCTGCGGCCTGCTCCTCCTGGTGGCGCTCACTGCCCTCATGGGTTGCTGTGTCTCCGAGCTCATCTCCAGGACAGTGGGAAGAGTGGCTGGAGGAATTCAGTTCCTGGGGGGTAAGTGACTTGCTGAACTTCACTTGTTTACCAGAATCCTAAAGCAGTACAAAAAATTATGTTTCAGTTGTCTGCTGAGATTATTGTGATTGACATTGGAATGCACAGGAGAAATAGATCTGGAATGATTTTGTGATAGATCGCCAAAGTCATAGATTTTTTTTTGGAATTGCTTTACAGCTGTAAGAAGTCTTAATTTCTGAATATCCTTGGCCACAGACATCATTGACCTGCCCAGTACCACCTGTGTGAGACAGTAACGTTTAGCTTGTGTGTAAGGTAGGAGAGGAGACGGTTTGCATTTGATAGCTTTTATAGCTCTTTCTGCTTAACGGTAGGCAATTAGAATATCTTTGTCTTACTGGGATCCTGATGTCTTTAGAGGTAAAGATTTCATAGAAAGTGGAATAGGTTTTAATTCAGTATTGTCATCATTGACTTCTAATGTTCCTTGGTGGATGCAAAATTGACTCTTGTCTAATCATAAACTGGGCGCCTAAGTAAGTGTTACTGTTTTAAGTGAGAGATCAGTTTCATATTAACAACTGTTAAAGTTCTAACTGTGCTGCAGAGATAAACATAGGCTTAATTACATTGCCTTTTTAAAAATTCTTTTCTTCTGCTTTTTAAAAAGCAGAATCTTTTTAAAAATTCTTTTTTTTTGGAGACAGAGTCTCACTTTGTCACCCTCAATAGAGTGTGTTGACATCATAGTTCACGGCAACCTCAAACTCTTGGGCTCAAGAGATTTTCTTGCCTCAGCCTCCCAAATAGCTGGGACGACAGGCACCTGCCATAATGTTTGGCTATTTTTAGAGATAGGGTCTTACTCTTGAGCAGACTGGTCTGGAACTCCTGAGCTCAAGCAGTCCACCCACCTTGGCCTCCCAGAGTGCTGGGATAACAGGTGTGAACCACCATGCCCAGCCTACCTTGTTAGGTTTTAACTTCCATGGATGCTTCTGCTGTGGAAAAAAGAAAATAAAAGAATATTTAGTGAATGATGTGTGCTTGCCTCAAATAGACTGGAGAGTTTCACTAACACCAGAAAAGGTTTGATTTTTACTTGGATTTTTTCCAGTGAGTCTTGCTTCAATATCTTTGGTCATATGGTTTTAATTGTGCTTTATGTATTTTCCACTGTGCGTTTCACCTCCATTCTTCAACCTGACTGGCTGAACTTGTCTGATTTACAATCTGCCTTGGTGAAATATGACAATTTCCATAGATAGTGCAGAGTAAAGGGAAATAGGAAGCCTGGAAAGCTTATACAGTGTGTTTGTAACTTTATTACAAGGCGGCAGAGACTCTTCCATTTGGTGTTTGTGTATAGTCTTTTGTGAAGAATCCAAAAGAAACAAAAAAATTTAAATGAATTGTTCTGAGACAGCCTATACATATTAGAGAATCCCAGTGAATTATCTTTATTTATTATAAAACTTTCAAACAATGTTTTAAGAAAGATTTAATTCTTGTGTGGAATATGCAAGTGGCAAAAAGTTTTGTGTTTCGAAATGAGAGAATTGTTTGAGGTCTGTTGTTTTCTTACTGGATGTAACGTTGTTCTCCCCTGTTTTTTTCCCTTTTGGTTTTGCGTTTTAGTTCACATTGGGAGGTGGTTTGGGGGGCCCCCTCACCCTGTCTTTATAGCCTCAGTGTTGACCATTGACTGAAGTCTTGCACGGGATAATGAGTATTTACACAAAAGTATAGCAAAACTCTGAGGAAACATAATGAGGTTGTCTTTGAAAGCAGAAATACACGTCCAGAGTTTGAAAACTGTTGATACCACAGATTTTAAGAATAAAACTAATGCCAGGAGTACTTAACATTTTTTTCTTTAAGAATAAAGTTGGATTGGTGCTTGTGTTTCACTTGGCTCAGGAAAACGCTTTGGCAGCTTCATTTTCTCCTCTTATGGTAAATATTACTTTCCATTTCTTCATTTTAGGGTAGGGACTGCTATTATTTCTGGCAGAATAGGAAAATGCTTACAAAGAGAAATCAGTTTTTATTGATTATCTTTAAACATGCAATGAAGGAAGGGAACAGGAAGTGAATTGGAGACCTGTGAGATTTATGCTTCCCTCTAAGCTCTGTATAGATGTTTTGACTTATATAGAGCTAAATGTTCTACTTTACAGAATACCCAGGGATGGTTGGGGAAGTTTTATACATTGTAAAAAGGATCATTTTTTTCTTGGTATATGCTTTTTATGAACTCCAGCTCCCTTAGAGTTAACTGACATTAAGGTCAGGACATACTTCGTTGCTTTGTTATTCTCTCATTTCTCATATGTGTTTCTCATATCTGGCAAAAATCATTCTGAATGTAAAACCTAAGAGGATTTCCTGAGCATAATCTCTTGAGGACACAAGTAAATATGCATGCTACCAGAGATAATAGTAAATTTAGAATTAAAAAAACTTGAAATATGGGAAAGGTTTTGAAAACTCTGCCCCTAATTACTGTTATTTAATTACTGAACAGATGACCCCCCAAAAAATAATAATTCAAAAAGAATTCCTCTCTTTGTTCATTTCATAATTGTTTGGGGTCTTAGTCATAAAAACTTGCATAGTAAGGAATTTTTTTTCTTTTTTTTTTTTTTTTGAGACAGAGTCTCATTATGTTGTCTTCTGTAGAGTCCTATGGTGTCACAGCTCACAGCAACCTCAAACTGTTGGGCTCAAGTGATTCTCTAGCCTCAGCCTCCTAAGTAGCTGGGACTACAGGCGCCCGCCAAAATGCCCAGCTATTTTTTGGTTGCAGTTGTCATTGTTGGTTAGCTGGCCAGGGCCGGGTTTGAACCTGCCAACTTTGGTGTATGTGACTGGCGCTGTAACCACTGTGCTACAAGCGCCGAGCCACATAGTAAGGAATTTTATTTTAATAAGTTTCTAGTAAAATGGGTGGGTTTCAGAAAGACTGCAAAATACCAAACAAGTAAGTTCTGTGAGCTTCACAGCCTGCAGTTTATCAGAAATGTAATCAACATAAGGGCAGTCCGCTGGGAGGCAGATTCTCTTACTAAAAATGATATGCTCAGAAGGTTGTGTTTAGCTAAAGTTAGTGGTGCTCTAAAGACAACAGGAAAGAGGAGAATGGCAAAATACAGCGGCATCCTGCTCAACCCTGCCTGCTGTGTCTAGAGTTTGCATACCAGGTATGATATCAGGCCGCAGAACCCCAGTAGGACTCTGCAAAAAGTTAAAGGACAGAGTGTCAGCTTCATTTTGAATTTTCTTGCTATGGTTGGTTTGAGGTTAAAATGTCACCTGTCTACTGATAGGTCATAAAATAGGACTGTTGTACATGGACATTTGGTACCCATAGTAGCAATCTCAAGTAATCAACGACAACTACTTTTCCTGTAGTAACTCCTATGTCCCCTTTAATCTCTGCCTTCTCCACCTCATGCTGTAAGGCATGCTATGTTGTATTTTGGTTGAGTTTTATCCTCAACTGAGATTTTTTTTTTAAATTTTTTAAAATATATGTTTTTTAGACACCATGAAACAAAGTTTGAGGAAGAGAAAAGTAGGTTTCCAGAGTAAGAGCAGGATATGTTTGCCATCGACAGTGAACAGGCCTCCGCTGCCAGGGCAAGCAGGCTAGTAGACAGGAGAGCCTCGACTGAGTTTTGAAGGGCATGTGGAAAGCCTTCAGAAAACAGAATGTATAAAAAAAAAGTTAACATGTATGTAGTATGGTAAGGATATTCAGAAAAACATTAGAAGTTTAAATGTTTTCGTGTGTTGAATATAAAATTGTACTTTCAAATACTGTCATAGTCATTAAGAACTGTTGCAAAACTGAACTATCAGACTTTTTGATGTATCTATTAGTGAGATTTACGTGCTTTATAAACAAAATGCGTAACACACTGTAAAGGCGTACTGAGTCAGCCTTAGTTGTAGAGGCTGCCGTCGAGTGCTTGCATATGTCAGGGGGTGAAGTTTCATCTTCTGGTGCTGGAATGAGGGAGCACCAAAGAGAGTCCCAAATTTATATTCTTCCACACTTGGTTTGCACGCAAGTCACATGCACATAGTGGGTCTAAAGTGGGTGTGGGGTGCTAATCAGCCGCAAACAGCTGCCTTTCCAGTTTAGACACAGTTCTGTACTGAGAGGCAGAGAGATGGTCTTCTCGACTGGTTGGTGGGGAAGTGCAGTTGGAGACGGTGGTGATGACAGGGTGCTTCCTTGAGCTTCTGTTCTCTGTGTCTTGAGAGTGTCGCTGCCTTTCTAGGGTCTCAGCTGGGCTTGTCCTTCACTCCTCAGGACGACTGCCTGGGACCCTTGTTCCTCTGCTGTGCTTTAAACCCGAGCCGTTATACGATCTGTGCTGTTACGCTCTTCTCTATGTCCAGACTCTCTGTCAAGTGACAGCTGAGTAATAAGATGAAGAGCGGGTGCTGACGTATTAATGGGTACGGTGGCTGTTCAGTGACTGGGGCTGTCTTAACTGAAAGCATTTGATCTCATTTTAAGAGACCCAATTTCTCAGGCCAGTTGGGGAGGCAGGCAGGGCTCTTTTTGCTCCTCTTCAGATTACATCTTATAGATCAGTAACTCCTCTTTTTCCTTCAGCAAACCCAACCTACCATGGAAAGTCCAGGTGAGTTGTCCTGAGTTGTCAGCTGGCAGCTGCTGAGCTTCAGTATCATCACAACCCCCACAGATTGCGGGGCCCACCCCCGAGTTTCTAAGTCAGTGGATTTGGCGGGTTACATCATGGTTTACGTGCCTAACACGTTATCAGGTGATGCTGATGCCGGACCTGAGACCACAACTCGAGAGTCCTGTGTTAAGTTAGCCATTTCATAGTTTACACAATGTGGCCCCTAGCGGTTGTCTGACTTTTAGAACTTAAAGTTTACTTGTGTCATGAGCTGATACACCTCTTCCACTGGGCTATAAAAATGTCCCACCTCTGTAGTTCAACACTGATTGGACACATCTCTGTTCCATTTCTCCTAGTTCTTGTCACAACAAG